AGACTGGAATAATTTATTACACATTTATTAACATGCATGTTTTAAATTAGTATTTAGTATCTAGTATTCTAGTGCTATCTATCTATAAATACATAAATATCTATCTATCTATCTATCTATCTATCAATCTATCTATCTATCAAATACATATCTATCTATCTATCTATCTATCTATCTATCTATCTATCTATCTATCTATCTATCTATCTATCTATCTATCTGCTCATGCAGGAAAGTGAGAGGAGAAACACTTTGGTTCCAGTGTGTCTCATTTCTTAGGGCACTAAAAGCTCAGTGACAGTAGACGCTGCCTTTACTTCCCCTGAAGGTTTCTGTGAGCTGACCTGTCGGCTACAGAGTAGTTAGAGAAAAAGAGAGCTGAGGAATCTCTATTTTTTTCTTTTATAAAAAGGGTCTCTACCTTGAGGGAGTCCAGCTCGTCCCGGCTGAGGTTTGCTCTCTTTGCCGACTCCCACAGCTCAATCACACGAGGCTCCCGAAACTCTGGGGAGCAGAAAAGAGACGGAGAGAGATGAGGGAATGGGTTCAGATTTCAGCTCATTTCTGCCCTTACCTTAACCCTATAATGCCATATGTATCATATTTGATTCATACGGTTTCTGAATACTTTTGGATCTGAGACTTTTTGCATCATTCAGTGGTAAAAGCTTTGCTCAAACCCCTGTTGTACACATTCAGATATACCTGATAACAGCCAGTAGAAGACTAGACCTAAATATATTTCTGACTTATTGCACGCTAATTTGATCAAAATAATTTCTTTTTTTTTTCTTCATGTGTTGTTGAGGGGCCAAAGAAAGACTTTAGACTAAAAAAATCCAACTCCTCCCATATCCAAGTCGGCCATTTTGATTAAGTCATGTGACTAGCAGGTGGAAACGAAACTTTACTCTATATACAAAATCAGAAGACGAACGATGTCCTAACCCTAAGCCTAAACCTGACCCTAACCCTAAACTTAACCCTGACCCTAAACCTAACCCTGATCCTAACCCTAACCCTAACCCTTCAAAATTGTGAGAAATAAATATTTTTTGGTTAAACTTGTTTGGACTTATTGTACAAACTTATTTAACATCCACTATTTTAACATAATATTATGGATAGAGTTTAATTCAGTGTTTGCAAGAAATCATACACTATTTCTAAATCAATGTCTATATCGCCATGAAGCAATTAGGATTTTCTTGCCTGGGATCTTCCTATTGGTGACCTAATCAAAATGGCCGACTTGGACGTGCCCCCCCCTCACCGCTGTCCTCGCTGAAGCCCTCGTGGCTGAGTTTGCGGAGGCGTTCGAAGCCGTGGCTCAGGTCCCTCATCCGGTCCTTCAGCTCGCTGTGTTTCTGGGGAAGAGCTTCTTTGGAGTCGCCCTCCAGGGGGGAAATCACGTTCTTATGGATCTCTGCTCAGGATCAGAGGAGGGGGGGAAAAAGAGAGAAATAATTAACTCAATGACTGCCAGCCATTTTCAGAACAGAGAGTCCCATACTGCCAGAGTTTTTTGAGCATTTTGACCGATTTTTCAAGAGCCACAGAATAGTTTGTGCTATGACTTTGTAAACACCGAACACACCAAAAGAAAGAGTAGACTCTCTTCTTTCATCAGGAAAAAAAATGTGTTTCTACCTTATTCCGTTCTTCCTGGACTTGCGTCTCACCGGCGACATGTTCTCTCATAGAACCGTTACCTTTTTCTTATTTGCCTACAGTCTATGCTCATCTCCCATCAAAAGTGGCACTGCCCCCTAGAGGGTCAATTTGTTACAACATACTCTGTCTAGAAGCCGATATTTACGGACAAGCTTTAGCAGATCGTCCCCCAGCCACTCTCGTTGAAAAACATAAAAGACGTCTATAGACGTCTTTGGCAGCCAATGAGTTAATGGGGAAAAAGAGGGCATTTAATAGTCAGCGTTTCCTGGATAGCATGAAATGTTCGTGTGTCCACTGTAGATTTATTGGTTAGCAAGAGTCTTCTTTAATTGAATCAACAAATATTTGGGAGGAAAAACAAAAAAAGCATCTCTGCTAACAGCCTGAACAACACTGGCTGACGATTGGATCAAAAGGGGAAACAAAATCAATTATCCCTGTAATGCCAAACGTATCATATTTGATTCATACAGTTTCTGAAATGTTTTGTGTCTGACACCTTTTGCATAATTTAATGGTAAAAACTTTGCTCAAAATCCTATTGTACACAATCAGATACACCTGATAACAGGGGGCAGAAGACTACACAAAAAATAATCTTGACTTATCGCATAGTAATAAATTATTAATATTAAAAATGTATTTCTGTTTTTTCTTGTTACATATTTTGTTAAAAGGCCAAATAAGGAATTCAAACAAAAAAAAAAAGTAATTTTCTGTTTTGTTTTATTTTTGGATCAGGCTTTAAAGGTTTAACTGTCTAAATTTGAGCTGAAATTTGACTGAAATACCTCTAGAGGTGTTTTATTTTGGGTGGGGGGAGCGAGTCTCTTTTAACCAAACACAAATCACTGGGCCCCCTGTAGGGGGCGCCGTTTAAAGGGGGGAGCGCTCACCCTCCGTGCGGCTGACCGTGTCCATCAGGAGGTTGTACTCGTGGATTTTGTCCTTGTGGTGCTGGAACTCCCTCTTTAGGTTCAGCAGCTCCTCGCTGGAGAACTTCCCGGAGATCTTGGCCTGTGGG